TTCTTTTCTTTTCATTTGCTTTTCTTTTTTCTTTTCTTTTCTTCTTTCTTTTCTTTCTATTTTCTTTCTTTCATTTTCTTTTCTTTTTGTTGTCCCTTTTCTTTTCTTTTTCTTTTTTTCGTTTTTGTTTTCTTTTCTTCTTTCTTTTCTTTCTATTTTATTTCTTTCATTTTCTTTTCTTTTTCCATTTCTTTTCTTTTTCTTTTATTTCTTTTCATTTTTGTCTTTTCTTTTTTGTTTACTTTATCTTTCTTTTCTTTTCGTTTTTGTTTTCTTTTCTTCTTTCTTTTCTTTCTATTTTCTTTTCTTTTTCTTTTCTTTTTCTTTTATTTCTTTTCATTTTTGTCTTCTTTTCTTTCTTTTCTTTTCTTTTTCTTTTATTAGTTTTAATTTTTTCTTTCTTTTCTTTTTGTTTCCGTTTCTTTTTTCTTTCTTTTCTTTTTTCTTATTCTTTTCTTTCTTTTCTTTTTTCTTTTTCTTGTATTCCTTTTCATTTTTGTCTTCTTTTCATTTTTCTTTCTTTTCTTTTCTTGTTTATTATTCTTTTCTTTCTTTTCTTTTCTTTCTTTTCTTTTCTTTCTTTTTCTTTTACTTCTGTTCATTTTTCTTTTTTCTTACTTTTCTTTTCTTTTTTCTTTCTTTTCTTTTAATTTTTGCTTTCTTTTCTTTCTTTTCTTTTTTCTTTTGTTTCTTTTCTTTTTTCTTTTCTTTCTTTATTTTGCTTTTCTTTTTTCTTTCTTTTCTTCGCTTTTCTTTTCTTTTCTTTTTTTCCTTTCCTCCTTTGCTTTTCTGTTTTTCTTTTCTTTTCTTTTTTCTTTTCTTTTCTTTTTTCTTTTCTTTTCTTTTTTCTTTTCTTTTATTTTCAATTTTCTTTTTGGGGAGGAAATGTCTTACTGTTACTTTTTTTTATTTTTATAAACCAATAAGTATATGAATGACGAAAGAATATTTCTTTTTCTCTTCCTTTGCGTCAAAAGACATTTGCATTTCTTTGATGTTTGCGATTACGCATTTGCCTCTTTATAAATGTTTAGTGACTAGAAAGAGATAGAGAAAGAAAAAGTGAACAAAGAAATTTAGTGCAGGAAAGAGGTTAGAAGGAGTAAGATGGAGAAACACTTCGGAAGTTTCTCTTTCCTTAATTGTATTCAATTTGCATTCACTGAAAATCCTGTAAAGTGCGCGTGCACAGAAATACCCCCACCCCCATAATTCCACCCCCAATGCTTAACGTTGATTCCCTATAGCGTTCTTTTCCAAAAAAAATATCTATTAAATTTACTGCTAAACGTTAAAATGGAGGGAAATACTGGATGCGTATGTGTGCAGTGGAAACGACGTGCCGAGTTCAAATTCTGATTGAATCTGTTTCGTTTACTTAGCATTAAGTCAGTCAGTTATGTGCCATGCGTGATACACGCATAAGCGATCATGTATCTTTCGACAAATTACTGACGAGGCAGATTTTTTTTTTTCCCGCGGTTGGTTGCCATTTTTTCTGCGGTAGACCAGTGGACATAGAAAGGCTACAGAACCCGGTCTGTCCTATTATTTACCCTAAGTAGCGGTGGAGAAGAAGAGGATTCATACCTTTCCCAAGGACAATGAATGTAATGGATTCGACTGGAATTCGAACTCGACTCTCCGAATCTTCAATCCGAGCCACTATCCATTAATCCACCATTACTCCTCATTTACTTCGCATTAATACCCTTCGAAAGGGCATGTCTACCTCTTTCTCCTACGACAGGTTAAATAGCAGGTTGCCATAGCACTTTTGCCTTGGCTGGCATCTATTTTAGGAGAAAGAAAATTAAAGGAAAGTATGAATTGAACAACACCATTGCAGGTATAGCAGCAATCCTGTTTTTTGGCATGGTATGTCTCTTATTAAGATAGATCTCTTGTAAAGCAAGAGTTAGGTACTTTCTAAAACGGTACAAGAAAGTAACTATTTTCTTTTACCGGTTTTGTTAGCAATGGATCTTGCGTATAAGTTCCACTTGAGGTCTGGAGAGAACTTTAGTCTCAACAGACGTTCAAAGCAAGAAGCAGCATTACAATCCTTCATCATGACGGAAGAAAAAACAGGGTCAGTGATGATGAAACCTAACCAGCTTGGCTTTCAAGGCACTGGATATTACAAGACATTTCCCCGATATTGAGCTGTTAGAGCAAGGTCAGAATAGACCTCAACTTCCAGGTAGGGTTATCTAGATTTTCGAAAATGAGACCATAAACTGTGGTATCACTTACATAGATTTCATATGCATATTACAATTCTGTAATAACATTTGGTAGAATAAAGTATCATATAAAGATTTCAGAAAAACTGTATATTGTAAATGGATGCCACTCTAGGGCGGCTAGCTAATCCCACATTGCAGACGCCTGCTCAGGCACATTTGTGTTTGTTCAACACCCACAGAGCACAAATGTAGTTTATATTGCAACTATGCTGAGGGGACCTTAGTTACAGTTTGTGGGAGAGAGCGTGTTATCCAGCGTGATCTACAAGTCTAGCACGCTCAAACCATCGGTCACGATGACCCCACAAGGGTTCCGTCTATAAGGTTTGGATCAAACCGTGGTATGGTTTTCAGACAAAGGGACTGATAACATCAAGCAGTCGCTTTCCTTAAAAATCGAAAATGGTAACATTCGAACCCGGGTCTCATGGTCGGAAAGCGAACGTTCTAACCTCTCTTGCCAATATATTGTATATTGTACGCTTTGTTTAATATGCCTTATGTATGAGAATGAACCCATATGGATGCACAATAGAAAAGTAGCGATACTTAGATATTTGGCCAGCTCCGGAAAGTGGCAACGAGATACGCATCATTTCTACATTCCATCTTCCTGATGTACAGCATTTTATAATTTTAATGATTACTGGCACAATATTTTGAGTGGCATGACATTAACCCTAACATGTAAATAATTGTTGGTTATCTGTACCGCTCCAGTAAGTACCTGGCGCCTCCTGCTGTCCTCTACCTTTACAAGAACCAGATCAGAGTACTGCTGCTATATGAGGCCAGGAAGCTCGATAGAGTCCAAAGGCGTCTCCGCGTCCTTGAGGGTGATGAATTATTTTACATCCTACAAGCCTCTTTCCCACAGACGAAACGGTTCAAGCCTCTGGTTATCCTATCGCTATTTCCATAGAACGTATTCAGATGAACTACATTATTGTGTTCAACCAGTTCCAGCCGTCACGGCTAAAAATGTCCTTGTAAGGACATCGTAGCGAACCACCCTCATTACATTCGGATTTCATTGGTGTAAGTTCCACTAGAACAGTTTCTTCTGGCGAACCGATACTTTGCGGAACCGACTCCCAAGAGGATGTTTCCCCGATGACTATAATCTTAAACATTCAATCTAGGGTTAACCGTTATCTTCCCCTATATATCCTCATAAACTCTGCCTCTTACTTCTTACTTTGTAATCCTCCTCCTCCTAAAGTGTCTCTTGTACATGGTTAACATTATAATATTAAAAAAAAAAAAAAATGGCGCCTTTCACAAGCACTTGACTCTTCGAATATGGCTGACTGCCTGGGTTTGATTAATATGATAAATACAAGGTGTGTTGAAAAATGCTCACTTTGATACACTTTCCAAATATGAATATTTTAATGAATAAGAAGACTTTATATAATACAAAAGAACACTGCTATGTGAGAAGTAGGCCAAGCGCATAACTTTTCAGCACCGTTCTTTCATATTTCTATTAACATTAAATTTAACTGAGAACTGCGATAGGTCATTCAGTGGAGGAAAAATGTTGGCCACTGTTTAAAATGAAGAGAGTTTTCCTGGGAGAACAATAACGTTGGTTTGCTAAATAGATTAATTTTGAACGCTCAGGATTCAATTCAAGAAGACAAAATCATTACGTTTTATGCTAAGATTCGAATATTAATAGTTAACATCATTTACAAAATGTGTGCTTCTCTGATGGTAAAAGGGTACGTGGAACGATTTGTTGAGAAGCACGTGGGTACGTGGAATTATTTGTCTAGAAGCACGTGGGGAAGTGAGACTATTTGTCAAGAAGCACGTGTGAAAATGGGACTATTTGTCGAGAAGCACGTGTGGAAGTGGGACTATTTGTCGAGAAGCACGTAGAGAAAGTGGGACTATTTTGGGGCTATTTGTCGAGAAGCGTGTCGGGACTATTTGTCGAGAAGCACGTGGAGAAGGGACTATTTGTGAACGTGGAGAAGTGGGACTATTTGTCGAGAAGAAGTGGGACGTGGAGAAGTGGGACTATTTGTCGAGAAGCACGTGTGAGAAATGGGACTATTTGTCGAGAAGATTTGTCGAGCATTTGTCGTGGAGAAGTGGGACTATTTGTCGAGAAGCACGTGGAGAAGTGGGACTATTTGTCGAGAAGCACGTGGAGAAGTGGGACTATTTGTCGAGAAGCACGTGGAGAAGTGGGACTATTTGTCGAGAAGCACGTGGAGAAGTGGGACTATTTGTCGAGAAGCACGTGGAGAAGTGGGACTATTTGTCGAGAAGCACGTGTGGAAGTGGGACTATTTGTCGAGAAGCACGTGGAGAAGTGGGACTATTTGTCGAGAAGCACGTGTGAGAAGTGGAGAAGGGGACTATTT